TGTGGCAAGACATGAACGCGGACTGAGCACAGCGAGATATCTCAATGCGGAGGAGGGAAAGAAGAGGATCGAATAACCTGCCACCCTAGGTATTTCAACTTCTTGAGCACTCCAAGCCACCAACAACCATTTTTGGACCCGTTTCAATGGGCCAGCTTTTGTTCTTGCACATATTATGTGGGAAAGAGGAGGGATAATGAAACCTACAGTCAACTTGTGACTAGGTTCCTACAGATATAGAAATATTAGTTACTAATTACTTAGGCCTTTAATTTGCTTTCGACCCTCTCTTATTATGCCTTCGAACTGTAACAACGTATACTAGCAGATGATTTCAATAAGTTTGGTAGAGTGCAATCGACTCGTAACAGTAGGTAATATACTCTCTATATCTTTAGCAAATATTAGTCCATACTATTTGGATCGTTGGATCAGTTAAGTGCTTGTACTTATGGTGCGTGCAAGGACAAAGGTGAAACCAAATCAAAAAATCAAAAAGTACTCTCGATCGGGGAATCGAACCCCGGCCACCTGCGCACTGTTCATTGACAAGCAGGTATCCTTACCACTAGACCAATCGAGAAGGCAGCTGAGGCTTACAGATCCCAACCCGTGATTGTTTGTTGTTTACTACCTACCTGGGGGGATACTGTTTTATAACATGCTGGAACTGACCTTTTGTTCAGGTCACTCTGCTGGATTTTTTAGTATAGTGGTATAAGGGTTATACCTATTAAACTAATAAAATTATAACACTTAAACTTATACTTATTTTTTAGTTGTATGTTTTAAATGGCTCTTTTGTTTTATACTAATATTAATGTAATGTTGTTGTAGATTTAATATTATATAAGTTTAAAGGGTTGGAACTAAAGTTTTCTGGCGATATTATATTAGAACGGCTTCTCTAGAGGAAAAGTGCAACACCTGCACCATTCATGTAACAAAGTGACCTAAATAGAGGCCTCCCCTATAGATATGTTTTATGCCTCTCTCTTTTTCTCATCGTATTTCTTATGAGAACTACCTCCCTGCTCTTTACCTCTTTAGCACCCTCTTATATTGATTCAGCATAATATTCATGATCTTGTCATTTGGATACCTGAGCCGGGTGCCTATTGGCTAGGCACCACATTTTTGGTATATTAAAATAGCGCTTTACTACATCACTAGTAGAATCACATAGGAACAACTCTGATTCAACACCTTTCAACGCCACAGCCTCATGAACGTTGGCCTATACTATCAACGACACCAGTTGATAATATTTTATATATGCAACATTGACTAGCCCATTGTGACTCGACTTCATCAACCTTGTTAGTTCTAATCAAATATATGCATCGAGGCTGATGCTGATGCAAGAAGTAATACCAACATGGCGCTCAAGGGGTCGAACACATATCGTATAGGATAAGTGGACGACTGACAAAACCGCTAGCGCCCATATAATTATCTCAGTTATTGAAAGCTACCCGATGATGCAAGTGAAGTGGATGGGGCTATCAAAATTCGCGATACTTCGGCTGGAACTTCCAGGCTACTGAAAGTATAGCACCGTCAAGTTTCGGGGCGAAGCCGTAGTACCTCTGTCGCTGACGTTTTCGATAGATTGGATTTGCAACAACTTTCCTCCAAGCACCCATCAAGATGCCGAAATAAACCGGTAATTATCCTATAGCTCTCGCCAACCATTAGCAGTCTTATCGGGGTGTCCCTGACACTCGATGAGTCTGTGAATCATAAGACATCTAGGATATAATTCGCGAGTTTGAGGCTCAATGATAGCCGGGGCCTGATCTCCGTGGGACAAGCTGGCCGTTCATAAACCTTGATATAATGAGATCATCAGGACACAATGAAGCCATTCCAACGCCACGGGGAAGTGACATTCATGGCTCGTCCTTGCTTTTCTAAATGTGGCGCTTTCCTGCCAACAAACTCCTTATGGTTCCAGAAATCATTGCTGTCTGGACCGCCTTCCGGTACCTCCCACTCAGATCTTAGGAGATACGGCGATTTATCGAACAGCAAACGAAGAGAGTACCGCGTAGTTCCAAGTGAAGAATAGTAGATGAGCTCCATGAAATAGCCCCTATCTACTCTAACTCTATATGATTTTGGTTTGAAGGCGTCGTTTGTGGGACAGCTCTCGTTCAGTGTAGCGTAATTTAGCCGCGCTTGTGGCGATACCCATTTCGGCAGCTGTCTAGTGATTGTAATTTGCAGCTCAAGTTCTCCGACGAGCTGGGCGCCTGAGTGCCGAACGATAACTGGGATTGGATGCTAATCGATTTGGGATAGATCACCCGACTTGGTGAGCTCCCAATTGATCTCTGCACAAATGAATTGAACCAGTTCACAGCGGCACAACAACTGTAACCAGTTAATGACACCAACAGCGCAAGAAAACATAGAGTTGAGTGTCTACTCACTTCGCCAGTACCATCGCTGTTGAATTTTATCGATCTACCTTCTCGATAGAAATACCAGCTCGCCTGACTGCAGAGAAGTGAGCAAAGCGCTTCGTCCATGTTGATGATGGCTTCTATCATATACGAAAGGGGGGTTCTGTGGCGAAGACTCGTACAGTTTTGATTGACAATAGAATCCAGGTAGTAGGATCATTAATTAAAGAGAAAGCTTTCGGATAGCTGTGTGGCATTCAAGAGTCAGCACCGGTATAGAGTCCTTTCAATCGTTATTTTTGGGTCATGAAGAACATGCGACAATGTATAGGAACTGGGTATGAAAACAGTGATGGGACTAAGCTATCACGGTAGCTTTTAAGTCTCTTCCCAATTGTAAAATTCGTCAACGGCCGAACAAGAGCGACGACAAAAGTTTATGCAATAACCTCATATATTATAATATACCATGCCAAGAGGGGAAAGCCCTGAACCACAGACGTCTGATTTTACATACTTCTCTATTCTTGTTCGGGCTGGACGTACTGAGAAAGTTCTGAGAAAGTTCCTCAAAACAACTTAGGTATATCAGTTCACGTCGCCATAATATCCTAGTATCATAAACCCCCCACTAGTATTCCCTAGATACTAATATTCAAACGGCCCTCTTCACTAAATGACATTACATGTATCGGAATCCAAACCTTGAAAGGCAACTAGCCATTGCCCCTTGTACAGAAAATCTAGCTAAAGTGTACGGTTTTTGATGCTATGAAACTAGTGTTGCCTATGCTCTCCAGGTATGTGTTTTCCTTCGAATTTATCAATGAGCATATTAGCTTAACCTACTACACGAGAATTTTTGGAGTTAATAAGTAGGAAGACTCTGGAGAAGTATCCTTCCTTTTATCATACCATTTATCTTTGTAGTCACCATCCTCGAGCTTAGGGGCCCGAACTTTGTCGGCTACCTAAGTTTCAGGCGTTGTTCGAAGTCAGGATCGTGCCTAATTCGAGTAGAACCGGCGACAGAACAATAATTAGAATTACTTAGAGGTCTGCGAGGGTAGTGTAACCCCAGACGCTAAGAGAGATAAGCGACTGATGTGCACGGATGGGGCTTATGTTAGCTCTAACATTAAATTGATCTGAGACGAGCGGGTTTTAAGCGAAGAACATTTTATCACCGTATTACTTGGCTATGTTTAAAGAATTATTGTTATTGAGTTGAACACAACTCTCAAGTACTAAAATCAGCAAAATGATATGGGCAGAAGAAATGGATCCATAAGTAATGGTGAGGCTTGATTTGTGCTATCGAGGGAATTAACAGAGCTGTGGACGACCCAGGTTAAAATTGCCTATCAAGAGGCTTTCTCAAGAGCTGTAGGCAGGTACGACGGACAGTGTATATTACTACCCCTCACAGTGACTACTCGTCACCCATCTCCATTACTTCTACAACATTAATACCACTTTTGGAGCCAACAGAGCCAAAGCTCCATTTTGGACACAAAGCATATTTTCAATCGCTACCTGCTTCCGGTACCATAATGCAGGTAATAGTGGATCCTAACCGTTGTTACGGCGGGGTTATATGATACCTTAGTTACTATCACAAGGGCTATACGTAGGTAGGGCTTGGAGGATCACTCTGAATGAGAATAATATTCTTATGGTCGCATGGATCCCTTGACTACCCCCGAAGCCTCTCAGGGCCTCCTGGGAGCCAGGGTATAAGTACAGCATTTCCTTCGACCTTAGGCCCTCTGTCTCAGCGTTCAGCTTAATGTCTTGGGTGCCTGAATAGCTTTATTTACTTCATGACTTACAAAGGACCCTTGCATCTCACGGGGCGTGGCATAAGTAGCCTTCCGTTGAGAGATCTACCGCATAGGTGATCTCCCGTTAGGTGGTCTCCCGTATGCACGCATGCTTCCGTGCTACAGGTTACTGATAGGTCACGGGTGGTTGATATTAGTATATGGATAGGGTAGGGCTCAATATTATTGATTCCTAGCCTCCCCTTACTAGAACTAGAGGGAAATCTAACTATTATATAGATAATACCAAGCTATGACCACCGTACTAGGTCGCTTCTACCTCATTGTGACCCTGGTCCCTAACAAGGCGATGGATGTTCTTGAAAATAGCTTTCAAGACTTCCAGTGCGATTTGTTTGTTATACATTAATCCCAATATAAAACTTCTCTATTTTAAGGTTGTGTACCAATAATGGTTGTGTCCCGAAGGACATGGGTGCAATTCTTATTTGGGCCTATGGGTACTCAAAGATGCACATTCTACCCCTACAGTTGATTATCTATTTCCAATAACTACCCCAATCAAGTTCTCATATTTAGCCAATATCTAGTATACCACCTTTCCTGTCGTCCATGATATCCGCGATCTTTATATCATCATTAATCATACATATATCTGGAATCTAATGTGTGAACAGCAACCAATACCGTTTCTCATCGCCTTAATTTAAGAAAAGAATAGGCAGGCAGGCGTATGTGATACCGATAATTCACTAGACATTTAAAACAATATGCTCAATATGAGAGAAATTCAGGTAAAAAAAATACACGACCAGGGCCCGATTCGAACGGACGCCCCCGAAAGGAACAGATAACAAACGAATAAATGACGTCATTCGAGTCTGTCGCATTAGACCACTCTGCCACCTGGCCTTGTATGGGTTCGGAGTTAAAAAAGAAGCTGTATATCCGAAGAAAGTTGGGCATGGGAATAGGCGGTGAAGGGGCTACTGTTCATGACCGTGACCGAAGAATAGGCGGGAAACCTCTATTTGCTTGAATTAAGTAGGTTAGTTCTATGTGTGGCTGCTAATCCATTATGTTTCAACAACGACACACACCAGTCAGTATTCTTCGATCTGCTGTGATTACACCACTATGTATGATCGATACAATGCGTGTTCTTTGATTATTATGCTGTGACTATTTTTGCTTGACGCTCGTACAAGATTCGGCTAGAATCTCTTTCCCAAGAGTAGTTCGAGCGCGTAGTGCTTTACCACAAATCAACGCTGTTAGGCCGTGTTAGCCACTCGTTTACTCGCGTTTCGCGACCACGCGCGGCAAGTTCTTAGGTGTATAACTGTCACAGCAAAGAATTTAGCGCTCGCGTTAGTTACTGAATCGATTTGATTGATACAAGCTTAAAATTCAGAAGCAATAAGGCCCGGGCTGCGTTTCGATGACGTACAGGAAAATGGTATTCTTCCAGCGCACGTCTTCCCCTACTCTTAAGGCGTCCGTACCATAGCTGGGTAGCCGGCAAACACGCAGTCTCTCCCTGGCCTAGACGTAGATCAGACTGATCTCGGCAGCTTTCAATAGAGCGGACAACCCATCGGGCTCGCGGCCGATTCTATTACAACTTGTTCCGTCTTCGTCTTCTCCAGGCCCTACTTACCGAGTATCCTCGCCACGTCAAACCGACGATAGGGGTATTTTGGATATATGGGAAGGGCCACCAGATTCAGCTGTTCATCACGTTCAATCTTGTCAATCTAGTTCTTAGTCTGCCCTATTTCTTCTGTGGGCCAGCTATCCGATCTGGGTCGGCATCGCTGTGGGCATCACATAATGTGGCTAATGAAATAGAAAGGTTGGGGAAATTGATCAATGGGATCTAGAGGATGCCTTGTGGACTAGCTATTGTTAAATTCAAGGGAGAATTGTGGTGCTATAACAATTAGCTGCAGGCAAGATATTCAAGTTAAATTTTCGCTAACCAAAATAGTGCTATCATTTCACCGATTGCCATAATACGCAGAATTCAATAGTCCATTGCGATCAAGATACTATCAAAGACAAGACATGGTGGCCCCTAAACCTAACAAAAGCCCTCGGAACTAATGACATAGTCTTTAACCAGCCGTGTTAACTATCGCCTAATGAATACCTAGTCGCTTGTAGCATTAATGCACTGCAGGTCTTTCTATCCGCCCGCGTTAGCGATTGCCCGTTCCACACAACCCGACTTAATGGTGATGGGCAGCGTGAAAGTGAAGGCGTTAACGGCGGTCCGAGTGCCATCCTCGCTCATCTTGTTAATGTCATGGCTCTCCCAGGCGGTCGTCGCGTCACAGCCCTTCTCCTCGCTTTTGAGTTTGTTACCACCGTCGTCGATGAAACCTAAAGGCTACCCGCCAATTCGCCACCTGAGGAAACACTGAAGGGCTGTCAGCAACATAAGCATCTTGTTGCAACCTATCACATGTTAGTGCCAACACATTCCTCTAATTAAGAAGGCTTGGGACAACTGACAATGCATCATATACCCGATTATTTGTGCGGTCTATCAGAGGAAGCATAGGATGGCTTTTCGTTTCCAAGGTGGCGAGCAGAATAGTCTCGAGATAATCATTAGTCATTTTGCGTAGGGTATCAGTAGCTAATGGCAGGGCCGCTGATTTTCCAATTAGCCACTTCTAATTAGCTCGTAGAATTAATCCCAAACTTGGAATCGTTGACAAATAGTTTTAGAAGGGGCTGTATTGCGTCTGCAAAAAACTTACCTTTTCCGTCTCTATTAACATATTGCGATATGACGATAAAATATAGATTCTTGTCACTCGCAATAGAGTCCCAAATTGGTTGCAAGCAATTTTGATGACACATAATAGTTGGGGACGAAGTCACGAAGCTGCGGGAGAGAAAAAATCATTGAGATCATTACACGAGAGTTTGCCACCACCGGTGGCTGTGTAGATGAGAGGCACGAGGAAGTCGTTAATCCAAGATTTCTCGTCTGGCTAATGTGAGGTTCCGTAAGGGGACCTATATGCATGATCAAGCCTGCAATCGTTTTTATTTCTTATCTTCCCAACCAAGTTCATGTACCAGGTACTGCTATAAAGGCGGCTATGTCTAACCTCGTCACAGTGGGTATAGCACAAGGATCAACGCCCGTAGCCTTATCATACCAGGACATCGTCGAATATTTTGCAGCCATGTTGCCGGGAGCGTTAAGTCGAAGCATTGTGGGGTTAGCTCTTGGCCACGGCGGTCTGGTCAATGGCCATGCGGCTCCCGTAGCTAGAGAACGTGTTCCTAGCACTGCATTCTGAAGGTGGAGGTTGATGTAGAGGTTCGCTTAGGTATGTTTGTAGTTCAGCTTGGTTGGTTCATTGGGTGATTTTCACCGTCTGAAAGACCATCTGACACCGGGTTCGTGGGACGGCTGCCACTAGGGACCCCGAATATTCTTATACAAGGTAAGTGAAATTTAAAAAGATTCAGAAAGTTAAACTCAACATTGGAAATAGAAGGAAACCCCCATAACACAATATCGCGGTCACATCGCATGGTCTTCCTTGTCTTTTGCTGTAAGCCACCCCACGTATTGGGAGAGAACGAAGCCTTAGAAAGGGTAATCATAGTCGGAGGTAGAGTAATGGTTGAGATGACTATAAGAGAGATTTACGTGATTGAAACACTATTGCCGGGCGCCTCAGTATTGCTTATTGTACTTGCACTAGAGGTTGATCCCACAGGTGTATTCCTGCTGGATGTGAATTAATTCGATGTGGTTCCATTGGTCGAACCCCGGCCGAGGGGTTTCCATTGGACGTACTTCCACCCAGTCCACTTGATGTTCTAGAAGGCGATGCTGTGCTTGTGCTTGGTCCCTTAGCGCTGATTAATGTGCTCTCGGATATGGACGTAGCTATACTATTAGACCCTATCGAGCTCGTCTAGCTAGACTTTAAGCTAGCGGGAGTAGCAATCGAGGGTACGCTGATGGTTGGTTCTGTCCCAGTAGACGTTACATCGGTGAATTTCGTCGAGATGGGACCACTCAAACTTGACTGGGAGGACAATAACTTTCCAGGATGAAACGTTGGTGCCGGGAGTAAAATAGGGGCTTCACTCCTAGAACTGGGAATGTCCCGGCCGACTCCTCCAGGTCCAACTGGGGAGCTATTGGGATATAGTTTGTTAGAAGTAGCATCTTTAATAGCAATCGTGGTGTTTTTGGTTATTATAGAAACAAGACTAAGTAATTCCGAGCACGTAGTCAGCGCGAATGTCTCAGTCTCCGTGACGGCCCGCTAACTATAGAGATAACTATAGCATGTTCACTTCCATCTACATACTCCTTTCCTTTAGCTTTTTGAAACCTAAATCAGATCAAGGTCTCATTTCCAGCTGGCGGAGTCGATGGAGTTTTGGAAACATTGAACGCTGAAGGCCGTATTGAAACCAAGACGCGGCTAGAGTACCGTACCGAAGCGTAGCAATTACGATATAAGTAGACTACTTAGGGCGTTTGGACAGACAACCTTCTTCATCTGGTAGTGACAGATTTGCCAACAACAAAAAGGTGGTCTAAGGTACCTAGAGCCTAGATAGATAGCAATGCTACCGCACCCATGCCTTTACAGCGGGCTCATATTCTGATTACAGTAACTTTAATAAAGACTAATACTTGTTAATTATCGCCCCGTGATTGATTAGCCATTAACATATTCTCTCCAATTGTCGGTTCGTCAGACTTAAACTTCAACAAATTCGCCTCAGGGCCTAGCCATAAGCCGCAATCAAGTCTACTGTAGCATTTGCGGTGCTCCATTTCTGGAAGCTGGTCAACGGCAAGTTGCGACCTATGAATATTAATGAGCAAGCAGTTTCAATCTTTCTAATACTAATTTCAGTGATGATGAATCGGACGGTGAGCTATCTCATGTCACGATTTTGACTTCTGGATATCGTACAAATGACGGTGTTGAGCTGAAATCACCTGTTTACCACATTTAAGTCAGTATGCATTTGCCCTCGGCTCCAGCTCGGCCGATGGCGTCCAAAGCTATGTACTGCAGCTTGAAGCCAGCTACGATGACCATAACCGCTTTCCGGTTCTGGAGCTAGAAACGGCCATCGGGGCCTTTTCTGTCCATCTAGAGGGAGGCCCCCTCTATCTCGCCATCCATAAGCTATGCTACTAGTTGGTCGAATGTTTCATTAGTAGCAGAGCAAAATCCCAGGGCGCATTCTAAACACCCCTCGAGGATGGCATATCTTCTATCGAGCACTTGTGGGAGGTATTGCACCGTCATATGCCAGGATATTTTCTTCCTCTGAGTATATTATCCCAGGTCCGTATGAATACTATGGGGGTAATAGAGGTTGCCTGTCAGGTGGATAGGTAACACCCTAGTGTACGCCTATTAGACTTCGTCTATATATTGAGGCTATCCCTCACAACTACCTGTTGGAGCGCTGGAAGCCATTTGACCAATATACCCTATGGCTACTAACCCCTTTCTACCTAATATGTCAGGGTATTTGGTATCCAGAGTGAAGTTAGGTCACTAGTAGGTCACTGGTGAGTGTAAATATAAAGGTAGGGCTTAAATATTATTAATTTCTGGGTTTTCTCTCTAGATTTAAAGGGAAACCTAACTATTATATAGACAATATATAAGCTATAACCACTCTACTAGGTCACTTTTACCCTTTTGCGACCCTTGTCCCTGATAGGATTTTCTTTCTTTTAAATGCTTTGTTTTTAAGGCACCAAAAAAAAAGTACATTAAATAGCTAGCAACAACTAATAGCATAGAAATAACTTGCAAAAAAGTGTTAATAAAGGCTTAAAAGGAGTTTATAAATATATTAAAGGTAATATATAGTCTAAAGGTAAGTACTTAAATACCTAC